TCTGCAACAGGCTCTTGTTGCTTTTGGGTTTTGTGGCCTAATTGTGGGCTCAGTGTTCCCCCCTTGGTTTTTTTTTTTTTTTTTTTTTTTTTTAATTTAGCCTTGTATTCTACATGCATGGGCAAATAAAACCAATAAGACGTTAATTTAATATTTTTAATGCTTTTCATGTCCTGTCCTCAGTGCCTGATTCATATATGAAAACCATGAATGACACATTACCTCCTACATCTGTTTCCCAAGTTAATAGTCACTAACATTTTATGAAAAAGGAAAAAACAACTTGTTGAAAATATAGGTGTCATACAATTCCAGTTGGCCCTTCTTGAACTACCTGTTAGCTTCACCAGGCATGACTAGCTAACATTGATTCATACAACATGAAGACACCAAGACATTTGGTAATTGTAAGATTTTACTGTTTGACATTTAAACAGAGGATTCCTTCAGTGAATCTGAAATATGTCTTTAAATATGATCTCAATGTTTCTTCAAGCATGTCTCCAAACTTTAATTTTTTATAGCTTTTTATCCTTCATTTCATTCATTCGGTTTTATTTCATTAAATAAATAAAAAAAAAACCCTCGACAAATGTTTTAGTTCTCATTTGTATTATAAGGGTTGTTATATTTCTGTACCCTTTTTAATTTGTGATAGTTTTTTCTCACAACAGATAAATTTGATAAAATTCAATTGCATTAATTATGTTACTCTCATAAGAAATTATTATAGTTTTAGTCTTTGTAAATATTTTAGTTTGTACAGATAGCATGTTAAAATAAAAGCCCATAAAGCAGTTCAGTGTGTTTCATCTGAATACATATTTATTAGATAAATATTAGGATGTCACATCATCTAACTACATACAGATTTGCAAGACTAAAAATCACAATGTTCTTCTGACCAGTTTAGAATATGAAATGATTGTACACAGAATGTACAAAAACCAAATAAGACAATTGCCACTTGTGCCAATTGCTTCAGATTGTACCTTTACAGCACATTTGCCAAATTTCAGAAAAGTTACAAATTTGACAAAAATTTTTGTTTCTACAAACTGTAAATTTTTGGATGCCACACTCAGGAGCCACCCGAGACTCAGTTATACCTCAAAAGCTTCTTTTTTTTTTTCTTTAATAATTTTGTAGCACCTTTAAAAAGTACACAGGTAAGAGTGAAAAACACAGAGGTTTAACATTACGCAAAGCAAAACCCTCTTTTTTTTTTCTGTTCCTGAATCCCGTGAGGAAGGTGGCATTAAGTATCTTACATTGAACAGGCGTGGTTAGAGAGGTCTGCACAGAGGCAATCAAACACAGACTGGTTTTCCCAATGCAACATCTGACAGGAGGATGCAAGCTTTACAAATTCTAAATACACTATGCACACTCCCACTGGAGAAAAATGAATACATTTCTGTTAATGTGTCTCTATTTTGTCATTTACATTATGTACAAATATCCCTTACATCCCCAAACCCCGCCCCAAAAAATCCCCCCTGTAAGGAGAATCCTCCTCAGAGTTCATTTTACAATATCAGTCATCCTCTCTTTGAGATCCCTCTGCTTCATTTTCAACATCCGCCATCAGAAAATACAAATCGGATCGCAAAATTTACAAGACATGTTTCTGTGAGAGCTTATATGTATCATCACACACTGTGCAGGGGGTGTAAAATCTCCCAAAGCGGCAGTGCATCGTCTTAAAACACAATTTGATTCTGCAAGGTGATCTGAACTGAAATTGGGAAGCTTCAAATTGTTTTTTTTTGTTGTTGTTGTTTTTTAACTGCATTACAACTGCATAAACCAAATCAGACTGGTTGTAAAAAGACAAACAAAAAAAAAAAAGAAGACATTGGACAAGAATAATTTAAAACAATAGAAAATATGACGAAAACACACAAATTCTGCTAAGTGTGGAGATAAAACGCTCGTTATCAGGTGTCGTTTTGCACATTCTCACTTTAAATAAAGAGGACGAGTTCGCGTGTTACGACAGTAAAGAAATTTTTTTTTTTTTTTTCTGGATAAATTTGGACCTTGAAGCTGCATTAACAATCCTGTAGAAAGAAACACGGAGCTCAGTTAAAGCTGATCTGATTTCACATACATATAGAATATAAAAATAAGAAAAATACCTCAGAATAGTCTGCAGGATAGTTTTAAATATTCTTTCTGCTGATGCGTTGTAACAGGTTTGGGGGTTAAAATACACAATACACTCAGTACAAGGCCAGTGACAGTGCATAGGGATAGATTTCTTACAATATTAGGTTGTTATCAGGGATTGTGTATGTGTGTGTGTGTGTGTGTGTGAGCATGTGCAGGCCTGGACAGACACACAGTACCATGACGTAGCCACTAATAGTTTTAGGTACAGCACTGTACAGTCACAAGGGGATATAATACACACGACAAGTCTGCTGGATCATCATGCACAATGGTTGTATTTATTTATTTATTTATTTATTTATTTATTTTTTTTACCTAAAAGTATGCCATTCAAAGGTAAAAACATGACAAAAGGAAATCATGTACACCTACACGTCTTTGTTTTCCTTTACAACACAGCGATTTAAAAAGGTCGGATCGGATTAATTACAATGAGCGGTGACGATCAAACGTGAACAAGGACAGCAAGGAGGAATTAAAACCATGAGATTTAAAATGAAGCCCCACGAATGAAGACACGATCGCTTGAGCACGTTTGGGCCGGACGAAGACAACAAGGGGTGTGTTAGCACACGTGCACTTGTGATGGAAACGGTGCAAAACTTGACTAGGGAGGGGAAATCATCACGGGGGGCGCGGGGTACAACAACGCCACGATCGCTCTTCTGCTTTTGGGCTGCTGCTTTTTTCCTCCTGCTCTCTGCCTTTCACATGAACTCATAAGCGAAGAAGAAAAAAAAAAAAAAAAAAAAAAAACTGGACGTGTTCAAGTGCATCTCAATGAATCAGAAAACCATCAAAAAGTGGATTTGTTTCAGTAATGCTAAAAGTGAAACTCACTGTGTAAATTCAGTACACAAACTAATGTGATTCTCACATGTATTTCTGTTCATTTTGATAATGATGACTTACAGTTGATGAAAGGCTACACAACACTGTCAGAGAAAATTATGATATTATATGATATAAATTAAAAATATGTTTATGTAATGTACGGTGTGCTCTCGATGCTTTGTTGGGTTTTTTTTTTTTTTGTTGTTGTTGCATGAATTACTGCATTCGTGAGAATGACAGTGCTGAGAAAACGCAGGTTGCATCTGCATTGATGACTCTTCTCTCTCTCATCTTCCTGTGAAGCGCACCGTTTGATGACGTGAGTTTCCTGGCCAATCAAGTGCAGTGGTACTATGATCACACTTACCTTCATTGTTGATGGTGTCAAATAAGCAGTTCTCCCTATTATTGTGTAGGCCATAATATAAAATGTCTACATTTACAAAAAACAAGTTTTGCTAGTTTCATGTAACATTCTAATTTTCTAAGATTCTGAATTCTGGGTTTTCATTCACCAGTAGGACATGATCATCAAAATTAACACAAAACGTTTGAAATATTTTACTCAGAGTTTAATGCTTCCATGTAATGTGAGATGTTTATGCATTTCTTTATGAGATAAACGCTTTTGCTTTGGTCAGCACAAAATCAAGAAAAGAAATCAAGAAAGAACTTGTAGGATAATCCTAGCATAGCTTGCTACTTTTGTGGTATTTCAGAACCACATTTAAACATAGATAACATTACTTTTAACAAAAGGTCTGTTTATTTTTTTCACTTTTATGCTAGTAACTGGACTGGGTCAAACATAGGTACATGTGATTTTGTTCCACATTCGAATTTTGTTTTATAATTCGCCGCAAATGAAATTGCCCTGTGTTGTCAATAACAGCCAGAAGCTAATAAATGGTATAAGTCGAATTGAGCTTCCCTATTTTAATTCAATTAGGAAAATGTAATAAATTAACCTTTCAATGATATCCTAATTTATTGACATGCACCTGCATACAGACAAACATGCAACGCTGCACAACATGCGCTCACTTCCTCCGCAGACACAGATATCAGTGCTCTGAGTCAGAAGAGTTACTCAGCTGTCACACACACATACTGGGAAGTCTGGGGTTGTGTGTGTGGAAGATTTGGAAGAACAAATTTAGTTTGGGTTCAAAAAGACACTTTTACAACACAATGGCTTTCCCTCTGACTCCTCTTGTGTCAAGAGGATTATATATATATATATATATATATATATATATATATATATATATATATATATATATATATATATATATAATAAATGTAAAAGAAAAGAAAGCTACAACACAAACAACACAAGGCTTCTGTCTCCTCCGTGTTGTCATATATGATTATAGCTGCACAGTTTTCAGTTGAAAAGTCACATATATATATATGTATATATATATATGCTCATATACACATATAATGTATGTGTATATAATATATAAATATTTTTATATCAATTTAATGCCCACCAACATGGCTACGAATGGTGCAGCCAGAGGAGGTGGAACTGGTGTGTGGAATCTTTACACAAGCTGAGTAAAAAGGTGGGGGGGGGGGAGTGCAGGGATCGAGTGTTGACGTCCCGCTTCCTTCACAGCTGCGCTCCTGCGCCGCACGCCCGTCTTCAACACGGAAACAGTTCGAGCAAGTCCGTGTGCGTGAAAACAGGTAGCTGCTCCAAGTGTTCACAGGAAGAGGGCGAGGAGGGGCTAGTTGTTCTCAAAGAGGGAGAGTAGGTCGTCGTTGCTGTTGGAGGGAAGGTCGGGGGGGTCCAGGTAGGAGAGTAACTCTTCCGGGTTGGCTAGCTCTGGAAGCAGCTGAGACGGGAAAGCGGGAAAAAAGATAAATAAAATAAATCAGTGACGGCAAGTCGCCTTCGATATCTAGTTTCAGTTGAGTTGTCTTCACAAGCGATTTGTGGTAATCAAAGCAGACAGCAAAGAGAGATGAGAGCAGCTGTAGCAGACATTGTTAGCTGTTAAACAGGTAGCTTACAGCACCCAGAGCAAGGCTCACTTACATCCAGGGAGGGTTCGGGCATGTCCTGAGCTCCCTGAGCCATCTGTGTGTCTGAGGAGGGGTTAAAGCTCAGGTCGCCGTGGGGATGGCTGTTCTGGCCAGGGTGCTGCTGCTGCGGCTGCGGCTGCTGCTGCGGCTGAGGCTGCGACTGGCGAGGCGGCTGTGATGATTGGGCGCTGTGATGCAGGGGCTGCCCTGACTGGCCGCTGTGATGCAAGGGCGGCCCTGATTGGCTGCCAGGGTGCGGGGACGCATGCATGCTCGGCTGCATGGAGTTATGGGACTGATCTGAATGGGACATCTGCAGGTGCGAAATGCAAACAGAAAGCCAGAGAGTGAAAAGGAAGGATAAGGTACAAGATCGGAAGACACAGGGGAGTAGGAGGAGGATAACGTGTTAAGGCGGGAGGAGGAGGGGAGACTAAATGAGCATGAATAATGTGGAGCAGGCCTTTAAGATGGAAGCATGAGCATGTGAGCATGACTGAGCACACATGCTGGCTTACAGGGACAGGCTGCACCTTGCTCAGATAACAAGACTGTGGTTTCATTTTAGCATGACATCTGCAGAGTTTCTTCTCATAAAATGTGACACAAAGATGGATTTACAGGATACGACAGCAGGATTTATAACCCTGACACTTTTCTATTTCTTATTTTGTCACGTTATAACTGCTAATTTTACTTGAATTTTACGAGAATGGGTGTCACAAAATAGTGCATATTTGTGAGGTGGAAAGAAAATTAGATAAAAAATTGTTCTACAATTTTTTATTTTTTTTAACTGAGCAAAATCTGAAAAGTGCGGCCTGCATAAGTCTACACTCCGCTTTATTTAAGTTCTCCAGGAAAATAATCATACAGTGATGGGTTATTGCTGCTTTTCTTCAGCAGTAGCAGGGATGGCTTTCAGCTGTTCTTGCAGCTAATGTGCTTTAAACAAAGTGACTCAACAAGTCATAAATATGTACATAAAATCCTATTAATTTATGAGTTTTCGGTTGTAACATGGCAAAAATGTCAAGCTACTCTTTCGAGGCATTGCTTATTTCAGGACTCGAGTGCAACAATCTCTTTTGTCACAAGTTATAGCGATGTACTCACTGTATCGTTCATGCCGTGGCTAAGCGGCTTGTCATGGGGGAGAAGACCACCGGGTCCGTCAGGGGGATGGGAGAGCTGTGGGCCGTGGATGAAATCATTCATGGGAGGACCTCCTCCTCCTCCTCCTCCTCCTCCTCCTCCAATGCCACCGCCAGCGGATGGGTTCCCGTTAGGGAAGTCAAAGCTACCTTGATTGTGGTAGCTGTTGCCTTCAGGGAAAAAAAAGTAAGAGAAAAAGCTTGTTTGTAACAGAGAACAAGTGCCTGAGGGCTTAACCCCCCCAACCCCAAAAACAGAATGTGTAACAATTTTTACTTTATTACTGCAGAGAAACAAGTATCAGAGAAGAAACAAATTAAAGCGGTTTTTCCTTCTGGCTGTTCGTTTGTTTAAAACACAGGAGACACATATGTCATTTCAGCTGAAGACAAAATGAAAAAAAAAAAAAAAAAAAGAAAAAAAAAACAGGGTTCTGCTGTATTTTTAAGACTTTAACTTCATACTTTTCCAGACTCAAAATGATAAGAGTTCCTGACCCAGTTTAGATTCATTTTGTTTAAGCAGACATAAAAAAAGTCATTATGAATTTACCACTGATATGGACGGATGTGGGAGGAACAGCAGAAGGAATGTGAAGATGGATTGACAGACAGGTGACAGAGCAGAAGACGGAGGGATCCATGACAGACGTACACAACATGCAGACGATGGATGATGGAATAAAGTGTGGAAATGAAAACAGTCATTTTCCACTCCGAATAAACCTTTGCCCCCCTGACTGCTTCTTGGTACCTGCTCCGGGGTAATCTCCGTTTCCGCTGGGATGCTGTCCAGGATGGTGGGGGTAGGAACTTGGACCCGGACCTGGCCCCTGCCCGGGTCCCGGTCCGTGTCCTGGACCGGGCCCCAGCTGAGCGATCATGTCCATCACGTTGGGCATGGTCATCTGACTTGGACTCATAGTCTTAAAGCGCTTGGCCAGGGGTCCGTCTGGATCCTCCTTGATGTGCAGCTCAGACTTGATGGGAACTGGCCTCCAGCTACATGTGGGGTCTATAGTGACCTCTTCAAAGTCTGAACTGTTGGAAGAGACAGCAGACCGTGTTGGTTTGAGACACACATGATTAAATGAAGGATAATTAACCATTTAAGAAGAGAAACTTACTTTTGGATGGCATTAAGAATACCCCACATATACTGGTCAACCTCCAGACCTTCTAATAATGCTGTTTTACTAGGGAGGAAAAAAAACAACCAACTATTAGAGTAATTCTCAATAACTCCAAGTTTTACTTTCAGAAAAGACCAGACTTTCACCTACTTGCACACAGGACACCTCCATGTCCCTCTCTCACAGTTGAGCTGCAAGTAGGACTCCAAATCGAAGCACTGAAGAGGGCGACAAGCAGCTGTTAGAAAAACCTTTCTGTCATTGTTTTCATCTGCTTTCCGGGGTAAAAACAAACCTGCACGTGTTTGCAGTCGTGGCCCCGCGCGGGCAGCTGGATGCGTCGAAAGGTAATGGGACATTTTAGCGACACTTTGATGGCCGTCTGCTCCACGCCGTCCTCTCCGTTGAGAGTGGTGTTGCCCGCCGACGCCGCTACGCTGCTGAAGTTCCTCTTAACTGCGGACGAGTTTCAGAGGGAAATTTGGTTTTGCGGACAGTGGCGGGTGATTGTTGACGGCTGTTTTAGAAAATGAACATAAAGAGATCCAAGCTGCAGTAATGAGTCATACTCTTGGTGATGCAGTGCTCTGCAGGAAGAAGCCTCTTCTTCAGGAGCCCCTGGAGGACGGAGCGCACAGATGGCCTGTGGACCAGCTGCAGCACAAACAGGTGGGACTGAAACGCAACAAGAGACAGAGTTAGCCACCTGCTTCTTCTTGTGTAGCACACCGACGTTTTTGCTGAATGGAAAGGAATCCATCTGGTTGTGCTCGCCGTGAACACTCACACAGCAGCAGGCGGTGACCGTGATCTGGATGGTGTTCCTCCCCGGCTGGCAGACGTGCTTCAGGTGCAGTGGCTTGTGGGAGGTTTTGTTGTCGCCTCTCTCGATGGTGAGCGGCGTGGCGTTCACGCTGACCTGGACCGAGGCCGGCCAGTTGGTGTTCATTTGTCTGTCTTCGTGATGGTAGCACTTAAACTGGAGTTCAAGGTCTGACCTGCAAGAGGAGCAATAACATAACAGCTATGAATAGCGTATGATGGATAACTTGATAATGCATTAAGAATCATTTAACTTTTATTTATTTATTTTTTTTACATTTTGGGAGTTTACAACCATAAACGTCACTGCAGTGACAGACTGACACAAAGTAGTTGAAGCGTAACAAGATGAATTTTGGTCATGTCAAAGGTTAAACATAAAAGTGCAATAGAGTTTTTATATATTTTCTTTTCAGTAAAAACTGTTGAAAAACTATACACCCTTTTTCATTTGCTCACCAGTTATGCACTACATTGTGTTAGTCTAAAAAAAAAAAAAAAAAAAAAAACCACCAGCAAATAAAAAAACTTTTGGGGAAAAAAAATGTAAAAAGGGTAGGGAGAAACACAA